CAACACTTTAGAATCCTTGAATGAATTTCCAAATGTAAAAAAACTCTTCATCAAATATAATACCTGTTTACCAAGTTCTGCACTATTTTCATTTGATGGAATGATTATGAGGCCCGATAGACGTAACATAAAACATAAACTCTTTGAACAAATACTAGTATTAAAATCGGTTAATTGATGAATAAGGTATTTTTGTAAAACCTATTTTGAAATACGTATTTTGTATTTTTATTTTAAATACTAATGTACCAATGCATTTGCATTTTGTATTTAAATACTTTTAATAAACCATTCTTTTACATCTCTACCTATGGAAATAAAGGATGATGGTCAAAATGGGCGTAAAGGCAACAAAATCAAAATGTATGATAAATGAAAGTTTAATACTAGTACTTCATTTCATACTATGGCAACAACCATGAAATATACCGGAATACGGAGGTGGAAGCCATTGAAGGTTAAAAGTTGTAATAGTATTCACCAATATTTTACGGTAACAAAAATAGTATAAACAAGTGCATTATTTTTATTTACACTGCTAGTTTACTCATGTACCGATATGATATCGGTATCTGGCAGGTAGAAAAATAACAAAAGAAGACGCGAGGCAGGGGGGAGGGAGGTGGGTACGGCAAGGGTTCGACGCGGGCGCACGATAACGCTTGTGCCAATTCAGTCGTTATTTACTCGTTGTTACCTGCGTTCTCTTTTTCGGTTCACCTTTTTTTTTCGACTTCTTGACCTAGCATTGTTTATGGACTACTGTTATTGCCTGTTGATTGGATTGTGTTTGTGTTTAGAACATTTTTTATCTAACTTTTGGTGTTGAATGTTATTGCTCAACGTACCCATAAAATGGCAGACCGTCGCTGTCTAATGTGTCCACGATCAGTCTATCGACAAAGACGACATTTGTTGGATGAGAACCTGCCCGAGCGTGAACCGGAATTGGCTACATATATAATGGAACATGCACTGACTCATGTAAGTTTTTAGATAGCTGTTTATTTGTTTGTATAATATACAATGTTGTCGGAAGGGGGGTATGAAGCCGAAAGTAGGGGAAAGTACCCTTGATAATAAGCAACTCTTTTTCTACAACTTTTCCCATTCCTACAAAACTACGACTTTACAAAGCCCTAGAGTAGACGACATCAGATATTTCGATCATCTTGCCTCCAGTCTCGGGGAGATATTGGAGTAGTAAGAAATAGGGTTGTCATTACGACGTCAATTGTTTTTTTTGTATAAAACATAAAAATACGTTTTGACTTATGAAAGGTGATGGAATATAATAGTTACCATTGACCATAATTATACATGATCCACAGCTTCATACCCTCCTTTTGACTAACCTTGTATAGTTGTATGATTTCTTTCCTCTAGCCTTTTGCTTAATCTATTCTAATTATATAATTAATAAACGAATAAATAAAATATTTTAAACTATTATATTTTATACTATTTACACGAAGTATTTTATTGAAATGTTCGAAACACGAGAAAATATACGAAGAATATATTACTGACATCTACATGGCGCTTGAAATATGTACTTTTATAACCTAGTATACTAGATATTTTTTACTTTTATTTTCAGGTGGACTTTGACAACGTACATTCGTTATGCCATAGATGTTGGCAACAGGCGACTAACGCTGTTAGAAGACGTGATGTGCCTGCACCCCAGGCACAAGTACAACCCGCCGCGGGACAACGAACAATACATGTTGAAGAATATATGAGAGCTCCAAATAGGGCAGACTGCTGCATCTTTAATAACTGTAACAACTCGACCCGATGCAGAATACCTAGAACAATATTAATTCATATGTTATGTGAACATCATTTATATATTCCCGGAGAAGCAAGAGCTTGTCGGGAACATTTAGAAAGCAATGAATGGAATGAATTAATTAACCATTGCAATGTATCGCACGAGTTTAATGCAGACCAGTTTTCTGACGTTTGTACTATATTTCAAGAAGCTGTCCGACGAGGTACTAGATTTGACTTTGATACCATGACACAACTAGACGATAGTGATTTACATTTTTGGGTTGGTATAAGCTACGACCAATTCAATACGATTTTAAATCAAACGCCATCTTTAAGTGAGCGTAGTAATCGTCCTCGAACTGTACTTGGGATATATCTGGCTAAACTTAGAACTGGAGAAACAAATGAGAGGCTAGCTACATTATTTGGAATGTCTCGGCGTACGCTAGAACGGAAATTGACGATAGCAAGGGAATGTTTAATGGCAGAGTTTGTCTGCCTTCATCTTGGTTTTGATCATATAACAAGAGACGACGTTATTAGAAGGAATCAGTTGATACCAAAAGGTATATTTGGAGATGAAAATAACACCAAAGCAATAGTTATCTGCGATGGTACATATATTTATATAGAAAAAAGCAGTAACTTCCTTTTTCAAAGGAAGACTTACAGCTTGCACAAGTTCGAGAACTTACTTAAACCACTTATGGTTGTCTGTAGTGACGGCTATATAATAGATGTCCTAGGTCCATACCCAGCTACTGTGTCTGACGCAACAATAATGCAAGGACTTGTCAATAATGAGGATAGTGCCTGGCTTTGGTTCTTTAACCAAAATGATGTAATTATATTGGATAGAGGATTCAGAGACAGCGTATCAAGTTTACAAGAATGTGGATATGAAGTGCATATTCCTCCAAATAAAGATAGGCATGAAAGGCAATTGACGACCGAACAAGCAAATAAGTCACGTCTAGTGACTATATGTCGTTGGGTAGTAGAAGCAATGAACGGCAAAATAAAACAATGCTTTAAACTGTTACGCCAGACATACGTTAATCGTGCCCTGGTACATATGTTTGATGATTATAAAATCGCTGCGAGTCTTTTGAATGCCTTTCATTCTGTTTCTGAAAATAACAGACATGCCGTCGATATTTTAAAACCGAATCCACACCAATGTTCATTCTACAAATCGGCTGTATGAATACGTTGCGATGAAAAATCTGAATCAGCACCGAAGAACATTTACTAGAATTGATGCAAATCCGCCGTTCCTGGAAGAATTTCCTACATTAACCGAAGATGATATTGTATTACTGGCCCTAGGTACTTATCAGCTAAAACTAGCTAAATCTTATGTTTCTGAGCACATACATAATGGAGTATATAATATAGAAATCTGCAGAGACGACGCCCTGAGCGATCTTTCCGAGTGCAACATATTAGAAAGGAACGTGTGGTTACTGCGAGCACGAATCCAATCGAGGCACGTCAGAGCTCGTATATATTATACATATATACTAATTAATAGAGACCAGGAGGGCGGAAATGCAATTGCACTTAATTATTGTTCCTGCCTGACTGGCAGAAGAACCGTTGGTACATGTGCTCATGTCATTTCTTTGATATGGTACCTAGGTATGGGCCGACATGAACCATTTGTTGGCCCTGCTCGTTATCTGTTGGATATAATAATTGATGAATAACTTCTATATCAATATATGTGTAATAAATACAAAAATAACAGTTTTTGTGTTTTATTTCTTTTTGGTCATTTTCAAGCAAACCCGGCGGTATTTGATAGTTATATATATGAAAATACATTTTCAGTACTAAGTTCTAACAATTAAAAGTACTTAAAATTCTGTTGGATTTACGCCCAGATTCCATAGAAATTTGCCCATCATCCTTTGAAATCAGAAAAATATGAGTTAAATGAAGACATTAAGTATAGATATTTGATAAGAACACTGTTATATATTAGTTCTGGTACTAGACCGAATTTTCTTTTATGTAAACTATTGAAGTCGTTTTCAAAACTGTTGTAATAAGACACATTTTAAATGTGCTCTTAGTATGGTGAAATATCTGTTTTTAACAGAGAATTTGAAATTAAAATATAATAAAAATGGTAATGTTGATATACTAGATTGTTATGTAGATTCATATTGGGCAGAAGATATATTGGATCTAAAATCTACAACGGGATATATTGTCAGACTGTATGGAAATGTTATCTTGTGAAAATCCAGAAATCAAAACTGTGTGACAAAATTGTCTACCTTTGCAGAGTATATTGCCCTTTCTAACGGAGTAACCGAAATCAATTTTGTAAGAAGTCTAATTAATAATGTATTTAAAAAAATTTCTAACCCAGTAAAAATGTATGAAGATAATTTAGGCGCAGTCAGTAGCCATAGCTAAATATGGAAAATTTACTAAGAACTCTAAACACATTGAGGTACATTTTATCATTATATTCATGGAAATGTCAAAGAAGGATTTATTGAAGTTATTAAAATTGAGTCTGAAAATAATGTTGCAGATGTAAGAGTATTAACAAAATTTTAGGAAATGTACAATTTTGTAAATTAAGAGATTTCTTAACATTGAAATATAAAATTAATATAACATTAGTACAAGTTATTTTATATAAACTGTGAAGTTGTTCGAATCTTATTTGAAAATGTAAATTACTTGTGTTGCAATATAAATGCAAGGAGGCGTGTTGGTATGGTAATACATAAATACATTTATATTGGCAACACTATGATCTGTGTGTCTGTGGTCTTGTGTTCTATCTCTTAAAAAGTATTAAATAAAACCAATAATTAACTTCAAAACGAGTGTTATTCTTAATATTAATTATATTTGTTCAAGGCAATCATCGCAACTAGTCAGATAAACTTGCCGCCGCACGTTTTTTTATAAATATGGCCACTAGTTTAGTAACAAGACATCCGCCAGAATTCTTAACATTCGCTTGTAAACTAAGAACTCCGGATGATAACAATTACGATTTGAGACAAATCGTCTTGACTGAGAACTTCATTCCAGAAATGAGCCCCAAACTGTTACTTTATCGCACAAACGCTTAAAAGAGTTAAAGCGGCTTCCTTTAAAGGAAGTAAATGGACAGACTGGAAACAATACGCAGACAAAGGTCGTAGATTAGATCCAGGATATAAACCCGGAGATCTAGTTCTTGTCGCAATACCGCCCTTACGGGGAAGAAGCGCTAAATTTGCCTCACGACGTGATGGTCGTGAGGCAAATTTAGCGAATTATTTAGGCTTCTGGAATTTTATAATCATTGCAGATTTTTTCTTTCAACCTCAAACCACAACGTATTCTCAAAATAGCAGATAAAAGATTTAACTTCATTCTATTTCTTTGCTTGTTCTTTATTACATTCATGCTGCTAAATAGTCTCTCAACATCGGCATTAGAATGAGGTAGTATTAGGAGAGTAATCGCAAAAGTCGCCAATTCCTTAAACCTCGATTCTCCTTGAGCATCTTTGAATTGCAATACTTCCATCTATTTTTTTTTTGTGTTTGTAGTTTCATTCATTTTAATAAATGAATCTGATGCCACTGATCATCGACTCTCGCTATATGTTCTGCACTTTTAATGAACTGAGCCATTATGTCAATTAGTGCTTCTTTGTTGTAATTAAGTGGTTGTTAAGGACTTATTCGGGAATTTTTTTTCATTAGTGTCAAAGTTTCTGGTAACCTATTTTACCTGTATATTTATTCAATTAGACTGAGTATAATGTTATGCACTGATGCCGCATAATTTCTTCGTCTGCATTAGTAGCCCCTTTTCTCTCATTTCAATTATTTGTTTTTCAAATCTGAATCCAAGATAACATTTTTGATCCAAAATGTCACGAATATTTTTATTAAAAATATTAACTTTATTTGTAGGTAATGTAACCTCGCAGAAAAGCATATCTATCAGGTTAGTTAACTCTTCACACAATTTGGTATGGTCCGTATCTTTTGACTCGAACATTTTATTAACTCTATTTATTACAATAAATAATGAATATAAAAATGAAATATATGCGTACTTCATCTCATTCGCATATAAAGAGTGCAATAACCGTGTGACATCTTTCGTGCACCTTAACTATTGCAAAATGAGTTTTTAACTCGAGCCATTGCGTGTATATTTTGATACAGCAGATTCAATTGACAACCACCTTGTCTGGCATGCTTGAGCAATTTTTAAAGGTTTCTGACCGTCGTTAATGGTTTTATATAATTTTTTATACAGCAATTGTCCTGATGTCGAGCGGCTAAACCAATCATATGTCTCCCTAATTTGGAATTCCAAATTTCTCGGCAAAAATTCTTTTGCTACAGCAGAAACAGCCAAATTGCAAGGAATGACACAAGCAACGCACCAAAATTAAATGTGGTAACTCTTCCGTCAATTTGATATAGGCTCCATTATTTACTCCAACCACCACAGAAGCGTTATCTGTACCAAGTCCCATTAAATTTTCCAATCGTAGATCGAATCGTTTTAGCGTCTTCGTATAACGTTCACGCCTCTCTTTTGTTATCCAGTCAGCTTGGGGGAGTGCCTTTTGCCGAGTATCGAATAGAGACAGGGAACCATCCAGCTATCGCCGTCCGGCTGCTGTCTACTGGCTAAAGAACCATCCAGCTATCGCCGCCCGGCTGGTGTCTACTGACCAAAAGACAACTTATGAAGGACGAGTTAGACAAGATACCACAAGATGAAATCATAGAAAAGTATAAATCACCTTGGGCTTCTCCAGCTATTCTAGATCCTAAAAAAGACCGGCAGCGTAAGATTTTGTGTCGATAACAGAAGATTGAATGCTATCACAAAGTTCGACACTTACCCGCTTCCACGCGTTGATCATTTGCTACTCCTAACCAAACCACATTATTACATACTACCAGGTGAACGTCGTGCAGGTTGACAGGGATAGAAGTGCTTTATTACACCCTTTGGAACTTACCGTTTTATCAGGATGCCGTTCGGTTTGAAGAAGGCACTGTCAATATTTCAGTGGTTGATGGATCTTTTCCGTTCTGGAGCTGAATTGCAGAAGGTAATGGTGCTTTCTTACTTGGATGATCTACTGGTAACGCTTACATCTTACACTCAGCACCTGGAAGACCTACAAAAGGTATTTGACCATTTTAGACAGTTTGGTCTCAGGGCAAACCGTTAGAAATGTTTCTTCGGACGTCAAGAAATAAATTACTTATATTAAACTAGATCCCACTAAGGTAAAAGCCGTTTTACAGATGTCCAAACAAAAGAACCTGAAACACCTAGAACCTTTCCTATAGACATGCTCATGGTTTCGTAAATTCATTGCTTAGTTTTCAGAAACTGCACAGCCCTTAACTAAGCTGACGCGAAAATCAAAAATCAAAATTTTATTACTCAGTTTAGGCTTTTAAAGAACACTTGTGAAAGTCGGAAACTACGCCATCGGTTCGCAATACTACGGCGGGAGACCTTGTACTGAGAAGAACCAACAAGAAACGCAGCAAGGGCTGTTTTTTTCCCTGTTTTATTTCACACAGAGAAGTCTTATTGAAAAGTGACTTCATTAGAATATGAAGTCATTTTGCATTACAATATTAGAAAGAAAATACAATAAAGTTAAAATATCTAACACCATGCCTTTTTTTCATTCAGATATTCCTTAACGGTATAATATTCTTTAAAAGTCATATTAAAAATTGTCTACAAAGGCCAAATCTAATACATCACTGGGGACCTTGTAAAGTACTGAATACCTTGACCCATGAAAGAACCTAATACTTTCTGTAACCTGTAAGAAAGCATTATTAGCTTATTTTTATTTCTAGTGTTAAGTTTGTGTACATCACTGTTTGGTATACACATCAATATTGTTCCGGGCAAAAAGTATACAACTATATATAAATTGAGAAGCAATCGTCAATATTCCAATTTCTTTAAATTAAGCCCAGTAGTTTAGAATTCTGTTAAGTAATACAAAACAGTACGACTCATAGTCGGGGCCCCTTGGGAAGATTTGATATAAGAATGTCACAATGCCCTCATGTCAGGACATCCAGGCATGGAACGAATATTATACAAGGTGAGCTAGAAATATTATTTCCCTGGAGTTGTGAAGAATGTCAACGTTATAAAATAACTAACCAGAAGTCAGCAGGTCTTTTGCAGACACCAGTCCTCAATAACGTGGGGAGGTTGTCGCCATAGATTTATTCGGACCAATACCCGAAGGTAAAAATGGAGACAAATGGGTCCTCATAGTCGAAGACACTGCCACAAGATGGGTCGAGCTGTTTGCGCTAACTGAAGCGACAGCTGAAGTGTGTGCGCCTGTGCTCATAAATGTGTATTTTCTACGCTACGGATTTCCTCGTAAAATCGTCTCCGACAATGGAGTACAATTTGTGTCTGCGACCATGCAAGTGTCCATGTTTCTTTTACGAATCAAGCAATGTCTGATTCCCTTGTATCATCCAGAGGCTAACCCGGCAGAGCGAAAAAACAGAGACCTCAAGACGCAGCTTTATATTTTCGTAAAGAACGAGCATCGAACATGGCCTCAATACTTACCACAAGTAAGATTTGCCCAGAATAATGCTCTTTGTTCAACAACGGGTCATACTCCGTCATACATGATGTTCACCAGAGCTATGAGAACACCTTTCGAGGCTCAAAGAGACCTCAGGGGGATATTGGAGAAGGAAAATTTCCGTCCACAAATCGTCCCATATCTAAAAGGTGTTATAGAAACTTGGGAGCAACTTAAAGAGATGGTGGAGATTCAGCACGATTGGCGTAAATAAGATGCCGACAAACATCGTCGGACTCATTTATTAAGCAATGCATCGAAGGGGCGTACACGAAATTTTATGCCTAAGCGCCGGGCCATACCGGATTAGTAAAATTATTAGTGCTACCACCTATGATGTAGTCTATTATAATTCTTAACAATATGTAGGGAGGTTTCATAGCACCGATCTCACACCGTATATTAGGACTCCCGATCAGGTCACCTCAGTCCCAATACAACCGCAAAGACGTCGTGGACCGGGTCGTTCTTGTGACTTAGAGGGGGAACATGTAGCGTGTGCCCCTGATGTGGCAACCCCGGAGCATATGTCGCCGCCTCCTCTTGGCCCATTTGAAGTGCGCGCCGATTCCCATCGCGAGCGCCGACCAATTAGAGTGCCTGTGAAATATGGCGAAGTTCATTAAAATGTTTACTTTCTGTAGAAATTACTATTGCTTTTTGTGTATCTTTTTGATACACAAAAACGGACACTTGTATTTGAGATGAAAATATAAAAGGTCGAAAAAAAGTAATTTTGTTTTTCTTGAAGACCCACACTAAAAAGTTATTTAAAACTCTTTCTTTTTAAGCTAATTGCCTTCTGATCTTTAGATACTTGTCGTAAATAATTTTGCATTTGGGAAATGCTCTTGATATTTTCTTCATCAGGTTTACACTTGTTCTATTTTTAGCTGCAGACAGCATAGGTTTATATCCCGGAAAATGTGTATTTTGTTAATTAAAATCCAGTTATCGTTTCCTAGATATAATTAAATAAATAATAAAGGATTTAAAAGTGATGCATTATTAATGGAAATTATATAAAATAGAATAAATAATAAAAATTTGTAATAAGTTGTTGTCCATCGTACATGGTTTTCTCCGTGTAAGCATAATAATTAAGGTCGCGTCACCGCCGCGATTCGTAAACGCGTGCAATTTGTAAAATAATGCATTTCTATCATGAAATAAATCAGTCTTTTTTTAGCACTCTATCGGAACGGTTTTATTTATCAAACATCGTCGTTCAACCCTATTATTATCAATTATCAGTTATCATTTTCTATTAAATGTAAAGGTACTTAGCATTAAAACTTACAGTTTTTATATTCATAAATTCTGATATTGGTTACGGAGTTGCTTACTTTTTGACCACTTATTTACACCCTGTTTGTATGATTCGAGTAGAACTAAATACCAACCTGCTGTTGATGTTGTAGGTTTTTGTTCTTGAACATTTAAAGTTACGTTGCGTAACACTGCTTTTCTTTTCTTTTTGCTTTTCTGGTAATAATTGTGATCTAAAAAGCCACCTTCAAAGAAACCCGTGGATGTTCCTTCTATGGAAAATAAACATAAAAAGCTTCAGATCACTCAAGTTAAAGATCATAAAGCAACACTATTAGTTCAGAGCATGAAAGATAAATCAATTCAGATTTATCGTAGGGCCAAATTCAGAAGTAAACATATTCAAGTTGTTATAAGAAATAATGTCGGAATAACTTCACCAATAAAGTTTATTTCATCTGCTGCTATATCACCCTTAAAAATATCTATGACGAATGCTGTTAAACCTGAAGTAGATGTCAACTACTTGAAATTTATCGCGAAACTTGCATTTTATTGAGGAAAACTGTGATATTGATACATCATCCACACCATCTCTAGCAAGATCAACAGTTGAGTATTCTCCATCTAAAGTAAGTCTTTTCAAGATACCTTTGGACTCAAATTTCTCAAGTCGAATATAAAAAAAATGAATAGATAAACCAACAAAGCCCATTAAGTAAAATTAACAAAACACCAAAAGTATATAATGTCCTTCCAAAAAATCTTCTTTTCTTCTCGATTTATTAAAAAAGCACACAAATTTTTCAGAGCAGAATATTTTATTATGCTTGTTGAAAATCAAATTGAATAGAACGTTCCCGCAATTATCTAACGATTTTGTCTTATCTGTGACTCAAACCAACAACATTTTTGTCAATAGCATGCCTAGCATTGTAAAAGTACTTTCACCATTTTAAAACAATTTTCACCCATATCAATAAAAAAAAACCTTCCAATATGTTTTAGGCACAAATTTAGCCAGGTAACATATATTATTAATTGCTTGTAAATCGAATTTCAAAAAACTTCAAACCTCAGGCATTAACATAGAGTATAAAAATCGAATACCATAAAATATCTTATATCTTGTACCTCTGATGGTCTTGTAAGATAGTTATGTAGGAAGGATGAGTGATATGAACTTGTTATAAGAGTGCATGTTTCTGGAATGCTTGCATCATGCATTTTAGCAGATACGGGATTTAAGCATCTGAAATTATACTTGTCTCAAAGAGCATTCTTTTGCTGAGAACTCCAAGTGTTCCTGCTGAAATAAAACTTTTTAAAGCAGAAGTGAAACAGACAAAGCAAATTGCCCGCCTCAGATGATATGTAGAGAGAGTGATTCGAATACTGAGAGAATTTGGGATGTTAAAACTGCATTCGTTATAAATTTGAATTTAATTGGCACGTTAGATTTGTGCATAACAACATTGACAAATCGATAAAATGCTCTAATAAATTTGGTAAATTTGGTCAAATGTGGTTTTTTATGTATTCCATCTGGCGAAGCTGCAACCATTAGATACAACTCTGAAATGTAAGCCATATGTTTTAATCCTAATTGCTTGATAAAAGCAAATTATTTTTTTTCCTTTTTCGAAGAAACTTCAGTTATGGAAATATATCTTTGAAAACGTTTTTTCCCTTTACTCCAGTTTTCGGGTTTAAAATTAAAAGGCCCTGGCGGTGTCATTTGTGCAGGGGAACAAATGTAAAAAAATGTTACGCCATATTATCTTCTCCTGCTGTACCCATTGCTGCCATCATGTACTGTTAGTGAAACGTTTGTTTTATCTTTATAATTATATTTCTAGTATTAATAACTTTACTTCTTAAACTAACTTATACTTTACTTCTTAAACCTAGGGGTATGACCTGAACTTAGAACATTGAAAAATTCTTTAAAGAAGGCAGAGTCATCTCGCACTCTGATCCCGAAATAAGTTTCGTCACCATTTCTCAAAATGCCACTAGATATCGCTACGACACACTGAATATTTTCCACAGATAGTAAATAAAAAGTAAATTATTTTTTATTATTGTTATTTGTACATAATCGAGAATATGTTTTAATGCGAAATTTGAAAATATATTTAGATTCTTTTTATATCAGAAATATGTTAAAATAACAGATTTAAACGCACGCTGACAAAGATGTTAAAACAAAATGGCGTCACAAAATTGTTTGTATTCATAGCATGCGCACGAGCTTGTCGGGTTTTAATCGATTTTGTGTGTTTTCGTTTCCTAAACTGCGAATAGACGTTGAGTTGAGTCTTATTCTCTTCCGTACCAAAAGTTAGTGAAACTGTGATTGCGATACTGACGCTAATATTTAAGTGTTATCAAATAACAACAATATGGCGGGCCAAAGTTGTGTGATTTATGGTCGTGGATATGGGACAGGTCTGTTTTCATAAAAATAGTTTATTTATTCTTTTAGCTTATCATCAGTCTATTAATGTCCCCACTACTTTGGTTTCGCTATGGAATTAAATAGGTCATAACTAGCGTTTCCAGGTGTCCAAATAAAACCGGTCTAATTTAGGGTTTTTGAATGCATGCA